TTTATTATAATAAAGAAAGAATACATATGGGAAACAAGAAATAAAGTACTTACCTAGGCTTTTTTTTTTTTTTTTTTTTGCTGTCGACATTTAACCCTATTTTTTTAATGCACTAATTTTTATTTAAATAAATAATGCCCCAAAGAACATAGAATAATAACATGTAAAAACCAGACAATGTCCAATAACTATCACAATTGCTCTGGCTTTCTAACTATGTGACAAGACCCATTACAAATGCATCAAAGTTAGTCGATGTGTTATGCGTGGGAACGAAGCTGGTACTGAAAGGAAAATTAACATTGTTCAGTATGGAAAACAATGCAATATAATTAGTCGTTTTATAGATGAAAATCTGGGATTTCTTTTGGTTAAAAATAATATGGTATTAAACATAAGACAGAACTATTGGTAAATCTTGAAAGAAAAGATGTGGCAGGTGGGTGTGGCAGAGGGGTCTGATTTTCTATTTGATGGCTCTGTAACCAAACAAAATTGGAGGCTACGAAAATTAAGCTTTACGTTGTAATGACAATATTATAATAAGTAATTTATATTAAATGGTGTACTTGTTGGAGGGATGGTAAATAAATTAGAGAAGACGGAATGCTAAGAGAAAAAATGTCAAATTTCTCACACTAGGAGAAATTCAGTTTCTCTTTTTAATATTGCCTTATAAAATTAAGAACTTAAAATTTATATACCGTTAAGTTATAGATTATTAGCTATGATTTTATGCTATACTAATTGGCATAACATGAACAAACAACAAGTAGTTAAAATTTGGAATGTAACCCACTAAAATCCTCGTGACATGCACAGTAAATAATGCCCATGGCGAGAGGGGTAATTACTGCTAAAAAGTCAATAAACATTTTCTTTTTCAAAAAGCCAAGGAGACCACATTGTGAAAACGGTGATGAGGGCTTACCAAAAACAAAAAGAGAGAAATAAACTAGATTAACTTAAAAAACAATTTGGGGCAACCTTATTTAGTTGCAATATCTTCAAGTTACTTCTTTCTCTGGTTAATCAATTGTTGCATTATTTTGTGATAGCCGAGGTGTTTGGTATATCTTGCAATTTTGAAGTTTTACTTTATATACCAGGAACTATTTTGTTCATGAAATACCATGTATGGTACAATTAAATATTACAGTTTGAAGCTGAATAAAAGTGTTATTAGAATAAAAACTTACATCTTTTTATTAGTGGATGTCTTTACAAAGAGTTAAGACTTTTCATGCTGGAATTAGTCGCAATAATGTGTTAAAATGATGCTAAGTAATATTTGTTAATTGCTAATCAAATCTACCAAACTATTTTGTTCCCTGCAATGATGGTAGAGATATTAATCAAGTTGGTATTAATCTCACTTATTCCAGTATTGTTTCACTGTTTAATTACAAAAATTCGATAAATTTGCAACTGTTGTATCTGTGAGTGGAATGCATCATAAAATTATGATTTTATTATCATTAAAACTTATTATGTGAATAAAAGTTTCTGTACATTATTATTCACACTCTGAAGAAGACATGAAAAGAAGATTTCCATCAAAATTATACATACATTTCAAATGAATTAATGCTCTACCTGAGGCCTGCTTAACACAGAATAAAATACCTGGACATGCACTGATTTCTGGGATGATTTTCTACTTACATATGTAACCATTTCCAAGATACATATAATTCTCATAAACATGAAACTTGGTCCTCACAACTAGAGATGTCTCACTTTCTTGTAATTCCAAAACAAAAAATATTAACTTATACCAAAAACTTTAAATTAACTATAAAATATATTTGATTTAATCTACTATCTTAATAATAATTCCATTTTGAAAAAAAACCTTACAGAAATATTATTTTTCCTTTATATTATGCAAAGTATATTGTTTATTAAAATCTTCCAGTTTGTTATTATTTTACTGAATATTGTTAATAAAACAAAAAAGTAAAAATAATTTAAATATCTTGAGTAGACTATAAATAATCATCAAATAATTAAGTAAAAAGTTGATTACAAAAATAAAAATCTAATATTTATGACTTCAAAAATTATTATTTCACCTTGCAATTAAAACCTTATACTGAAATAAATTAAATTTTCAAAGGGATTACAAACTTACATAAAAACATTCCTTATATGATGAAAGCTTTAAGCAGTAAAAAAATCTGTGGCGAATTGAACAAAAATATTAAAACTGATTTTATTTTACATATGAAATAGGTTTAGTTTTAATATTTTTGTTACTTTAATATGTTTAACAAACTAAATAATTTATATCATTCTTAACACCTAATTTAAACCTTATAATACTTTGAAATTATATTACTGTGCAACAAGGAAAAATATGAACAAGTTTAGATGCTAAAATCAAATCAATAAAGTTCCTATATGAAATATTTTGGAAACATTCATAAAATTGTCTTCAAGTTGAACAATGCATAATATCAATAATATGGCACAATAAGTGGTAACGTCACAGTTTCTGGCACTGATATCACCATACAGAAGATAGGCAGGAAGTTTCTGTTATCACCTTCATACAAAAGGGGTAGTTGTAATAAATGAAAGCAAATGTCAAGCTCTACTAGGATGTCAGAATTGGTTCTTGTTTTGTGTCAAGAAGATCTGTGAAAAAAAAGAAGTAAAATAAAGTTATAGTTTTTTGGATATTATATTAAGAATTTAATAGATCAAAGGTGACACTTCTGAAATTAAAGTTCTGTGATAATTACCTAAAAATCATTGGAGGTAAAACAGTTGTGCTTCATTTTTATTTACTAAACCAAACAATATAATAAGATGCAAATATTCAAAATATATATCTACATTCTGCAGTATGTGTGTAATACTTGTATACACAAAGTATCTAAGACTATGTTTATTTGTTTGAAATAATCCATAAGCTAAGAACCAAAAATAAATATCATATAATATGAAAAATCACTTCAAACCAACATTTTAATGCAACAGAATGGACTTAAAAAAAAGCAGTAAATTTGCAGAATGTTAACACTTTTCATATGCTAATGCTACTGGATGTCACTGCAGGTGACAGCTGTGGCATTAGGGGAAAAATGTTTACCACCTATATATTTGGCTAATGGTGAATTCTTGACCATTTGACAATAATTTTACAACACATATATTTATGGTGGAAGAAATATATCACATCCTTTTCTGTTACACTCTTAGAGAACATTTCAACAACCATAAATCTTCTATTAACACCAAAAAACATCTCCCTGTTGCCCAACACTTTAACCAACCCAGTCATTCCATTAATGATGTTGCTCTCATCGGCATTGAAACAGGATTCAAAAGAAAAGCAAATAGAAAAATAAAAGAAGCTTATTGGATTGCTAATTTAAACACTGTTCAATCTTTCGGAATTAATCTAGATCCTAGAATCAGTGATTTTTATTCTTGGCTTATTTTTTTCATGTAATGTGAACGTTGAATTTCCTAAAACTTACTATTTATTTAAAATAATTTACCATACCTGTTTTTATAAATTGATTAGCAATTTTCAATCAGTCTCCAGGTGTCACCTTTATTTTACTTAAACACTTCAGTATAGTTTTAATCATACATATATTTAACCATTTCTAAAGTAAAATATCCCTAACGCCTTTTCACATACACTCTCGCCATGAGCTACGTTGTACCAGAAACGAGATGTTTACAACAGTACATAGAGAAATAGAATAAACATTTGACCAAAAACGTTAAGACTATGTCTATGAAAGAGTTCTTCAACTGAAAAGAAACTGAAATCATAATCTCAGTCGAGTTCTGTACCATTGCCATGCTTTAATACAGTCTTGAAAGCAAACTTTTGTGTATAGTAGAGGTCTGTGGAATATTTGTCAAGAAATGCTGTCTAAGATTGATTTTGCTATCATATGTAGAAGTCTGTTGCAATGGTGCACATTTATTGTCATGAGACTAAGCATGATCAACAATGGCATATGTAGTTTTAAGGATAGCAAAGAATCTGGAACATACAGTGAAATTAACCATCACTAACTCTTGATTAACTTCACACCTGTTCTATTTAACTAAAGTTTTAAATTTTTTATATGACTATACCAATCAGGCCCTGACATTGGAAAAATGCATGAGGGCTGTAAGCAGCCCCACCAAACAGTACATGGGAGCTGTTAGCAGGCTGATGCCATATCTGTATTCTTTGTTTACAAAATTGGACAATAAACATTAATTTGTATTAATTGAATTGTACTGTTTTTTATTAAATTAACCTGTTGTTGTATTCCAAGGACAAAGTAAGTGTAAGAGGTAAGTATAAGGCCTAGTACATTAATTTGATGAATAAACAAAGTACTAATCAATAGAAAAAACTATCCATTAAAATTGGAATCATTATAATGTTATAATCTCCTTAAAGTCTGGCACATAACATCTTGGCTAGAATCATATGATAATTGTTCTTTTGTAACTTAGAGACAGGAGTAAAATGGTATACAAGTTTCTTACTAGGAAATAAAACAGTTTCACTATTATTCAAAAACTTATATATTCACACATTTACATAAATACATGTCTCATATAAAGTTGAGTTAATCTGAAGTAAATCTACTTTGTTTGAAGTTAAGCACAAAGCTACACAATAGGCTATCTGTGCTATGCCCACCATGGGTATCGACAACCCAGTTTCTTGCAAATCTACTTTGCATAATCATTTGTATGAACCAAAATCCTTTGTCCTGTTTGTGTTTAACTGTTAGATGTATCAAGATCTTTTGTCCTGTTTGTGTTTAACTGTTAGATGTATCAAGATCCTTTGTCCTGTTTGTGCTTAACTGTTAGATGAACCAAGATCCTTTGTCCTCTTCGTGTTTAACTGTTAGGTGATCCAAGATCTTTTGTCCTGTTTGTGTTTAACTGTTAGATGAACCCAGATCCTTTGTCCTGTTTGTGTTTAACTGTTAGATGTATCAAGATCCTTTGTCCTGTTTGTGTTTAACTGTTAGATGTACCGAGATCCTTTGTCCTGTTTGTGTTTAACTGTTAGATGAACCGAGATCCTTTGTCCTGTTTGTGTTTAACTGTTAGATGTACTGAGATCCTTTGTCCTGTTTGTGTTTAACTGTTAGATGTACCGAGATCCTTTGTCCTATTTGTGTTTAACTGTTAGATGTACCGAGATCCTTTGTCATGTTAGAAAGATTTGTATCAAATTTCCTTTTCCTTCTTTTTGCTATTAACTTTGCCAAGGCTGCTTCTAATATTTCTTCCTTTTCCTTATATGTCCATACAAAATCATTTGTTTTATTCAGTAGAAGGTTCTCCAGTGTTGAATGTTTTAAACTAAGCCTTTGGTGAGTGAGCATGTGGGTGACTAAACACTGCTTCAATTCTTAATTTTGTAAAAAATTGTTCATTTTTAATGTCTCATAAAAATGCATCTCGAAGTAAATTTAAACACTTAGTTTCCTTGATGGTGTTACCCCAGTGTGCTGGATCTATCGAAAACAAGCCTGTACACTTGGAATGACTGTAATTCTCAGTTTGTTTACAATTCTCTTAGCAAAGTCTACATTGTTCATTAGATGATACTGTTGATACTGACAGTACTGTATTCCCTGTTTTCTTTTTCTGGACTAGACAGTGCTGAGGGACAAGTTTAACTAAATGCAGAAAAAATAAGATATAAGACTAGAGAAAAATTTAGTAAATGAAATGAGCACAGAAGTAAATGAAATGAGCACAGAAGTAGTTCCAAGGATAGGCTTAATTGTTACTATTATAATGCTAAAAGTATAGGAAATAAAATACATGACTTTAGAGTACTTGTAGGAATGGAGGATTTTGATATAATGAGAATAACTGAAACATGGTTAAATGTAGACAATTTTGAAATACAGTGTTATAGGTTATCTAACAGGAATAGAGTACCAAATTCAGAGGGAGAAGTGGCTATACGTGTAAAATCTGAGTTACATCCTGTTGAACATCAAAGATAATAGGAAGGAGATTGAATCCATTTGGGTTTCTGTTAGCAGACAAAGAAAAAAGGCTTTTAGTGGGAAGTTGTAACAGACCACCAAATGATACTAATGAAATTAATAAGAAATTTTACAGTGAGATTAAGATTTCAGCTGTTAATGAGATTATAATTATGGGTTATTTTAATTTCAGACATATAGATTGGGAAATGTAGAGTCAGTCCATGAGGGAGAAAGGTTTTTGGAAACTGTTCAAGATGGTTCTCTTCACCAATTGGTGAAGAAACCAACTAGAAATAATGTATTTTAGATTTATTATTAACTTCTGATATAAAAATGGTTGAGAATGTGGAAATTGGGGAACATCTGGATGCAAGTCATTATTGTTCTATTAGGTTTTGATGTTTTGCTGCATATGAAGATCAGAAATAATGATATTTTTAGTTACAAATTTCATAAAAGCAAATTTTGAAGGAATGCAACAAGAATTATCTGTTGTGAATTGGGCAGCTAAGTTATTTGGAGACATTGATCAAATGTGAAACATTTTTACAAATAGATTTTTAAGCATTCAAGATAAACATATTCCTTATAGAAAGAAATGGGTGGCTGCAAATAAAAAAAACAGGTTAGCTCACAAAGAGTATAAGAGATAAAATGAAAAGAAAGCATCACAAATTTAAGAAATTTAAATTGACTGGTATGATAGGAGATTTAGAAGATCAAGAGAGTTGGTCAAACAGGAAATTAGAACTTCAAAAAGGATGTATGAAAAAAGGTAGGCTGAAAATGTAAAAGTTAACAGTAAGGAGTTCTTTAAATACATTAAGTGTAAACAAAATATTAGAATGGGAGTAGGGCCTTTGAAGGATGATAAAGAAAGGCTTGTACCTGATGAGATGGCTGGGTTATTAAATTCTGCTTTTTCTTCAGTTTTTACTAATGAGGATTTAAGCAATATTCCTCATCTCGAACAGTTGATAAATGGAAACAAGATGATCACATAAATTCTGAGCTTATCAATATAAAATTGGGAAGCTTAAAGAACGACAAGTTTCCTGAGCCAGATAATATTTCCGTAAGAGTTTTGAAGGAGGTTAGGGATTGGATATTTGTCACTTGCTTCAAGTGCTTGAATAGTGGTCAGGTGCTAGAGGATTGGAAGTTGGCTAACATTACTCATCATTTAAAGGAAGTGATACAAAATTGTCCCAGTAATTATAGGCCCAGTCTTACATCAATTGTGGGAAAAGTTTTTGAAAGTCTAATAAAAGATGTTTAGCAAAGTGATTTAACAAAGTTAAGAATTTTATTGGATTGTCAACATGGTTTCACTAAGAGAAAATCTTGCCTTACAAATCTTCTGATATTGTTTGAAAAGGTTACTGCTTATGTAGATGAGGGTTAGGATGTGGATTTGGTGCATCTGGATTTTCAGAAAGCATTTAATAAGGTACCACATATAAAGCTTGTAAAAATATCTCTGTAGGTGTGGGGGATAAGTTAGCTACTTGGATAGAAAAGTGGCTAGATGGAAGAAAGCAGAGGGTTGTTATAAATGGAGTTCAGTCAAACTGGATTAATGTCACAAGTGGGATACCTCAGGTCTCAGTCTTAGGACCTTTGCTCTTTTTGATTTATGTCAAGGACATAGAGGAAGGAAAGGTCAATAATTTACTTAAATTTGCTGATGGTATTAAGGTCTTGGGTGTTGCTAGCTGTGAAGAGGATGTTGCTGATTTACAAAAGGATTTAGATCATTTAGTGAGTTGGGCAAATAAAATGGCAGATGTGTTTTAATTATAATAAATGCAGGATAATGCATGTGGTTTATCATAATTTCAATTACAAGTATAATTTGGATGTGAATAACCTTAACAATGTCAGGAAAGAAAGGTATCTTGGTATAATGGCTGATCAGTCTCTTTAGCTATCCAAGCAGTGTGCTGTTGCTAGTGGTAAGGCAAATAGGATTTTAGGTTGTATCTACAGAAATACTTAATACAAGTCTAAAGAGGTTATAATTTCATTGTATAGGTCACTGGTTATGCCACATTTGGAATATTCAGACTGTAACATGAAACTACATTTGTTTATCCTAAATAGTTTAACTCGCATAGAAGTATACACTGGTTTATACAAATTTTTTTTATTATTTTGTCCTTTGAACCATGTCTAACTAATATTCCCACCACAAAAGTTGAAAATCACTTGGCAAACATGTAGCTCACATTACCCCATCAAATTACATAAAGCATGGACTACCTGCAAGTGTTTGAAAAATTTGTATTATTATTGTTATTTAAGGTTGAAGAGAACAAAGTGAGTCATCCTGGTGGTGCAGCTGTCCTGATCAAATGCCTCACATGTCCAGAAAAGTGACCTTACGGGTGAGTCAAGGGCACCTTAAAACCTCTATGTTTTTACTCCCACTGCTTTGTAGGTGAGACCAGGAAATCAAAATGTTACAGGAAAGACACCTCTATAAGAAACCTGTCAACAACACGCCCGGGCAACAGCACGTTGATGGTAGGTCAAATTCCTGTCAAAGAGTGAAATGAAGAAACCAAAGGAAGGCTGTAATGCTCAAGGCACAGACAATTTGTAGCTCGAAGAAGATATCACTAAATGACTTGTTATGATCAAACTCAAAAGGGAGTTGTAAGGCCAAGAGAGTGAAAAGTAGCACTGTCAGAATCATCTTATGTATATACAACACAAGAACAATCAGAACTGAAGATGATTTAAAAAGACTGACCAAGAAGCTAAGAACCATCTCTTGAGACATTGTCGGACTGAACAAAATGAAATGCAAAGGAGAAGGACTCAGTGAACTAATGGGAGGCATATGGATCTATGTGGTTGGAAAAACAGAAGAGAACACAAATGCAAAATGCATAACATTCATGATAAATCCTAGACTAAAGTACTAGATTGAAAAGTTTTAAACACACTCAGACAGACTTGCAAACTGAAACTTCAGGGAGATACATCACTCCAGATAATACAGATGTATGCACTGACTCAAGACCATGATGATGATGAAGAGATAGATTAATTCTAAGAGAAAATAGAAAATGACATTGAAAATGACAAGTGCAAATACCACATAAATATGGGAGACTTCAATGTGAAGATTGGGATGAAAAATAACAATGAAAATACCAGATGTATGGGACCATTTGGAATTGGAGAAATAAATAAAAGAGTCAAGAGGCTAATATAATTTGTGAAAGCCAACCTTCTGATCGTAGCAAGCACATATTTTGAAAAAGCCAAAAATAGATACAGGACCCGAGTCACTTGATGAAACACAATGAACCAAACAGACTTTTAACTAATCTTACTAAGGACATGCAAAAGAAGACATTAGAAGCGACCACAGAATGGTGAGAGGGAAACTTAAACAAGTCAAGAGACTGATACATCTGAAAGAGAACACAGAGAAACAAATCTTTAAAAACAAATATACAAATGATACAGAGATACAAGGAAACATTCCAGCTACAGCTGAAAAACAGATTTGAAGTGCTTAGTGAGGAACAGACAATGCCAGAAACTCTGACTACAATCCTACAGGAAGAAATAAGGACAGCACAAAAAGTGGCAACAAAATCCAGGGAAAACAGGTCAGATGCAGACAAGTACATCAAAGAGCTACATACTAAAAGAAAGGAGTTAAGAAAAAAAAGAGAACAAAACAGTAATAGAAAGGGTAGAATATGCCAAACTGAACAAAACTGTCAAAAAGAAAAGAAGAGTGAGAGCAAGATAAAAAAAAAAAAAGAAATGATCAAAGAAATATTAGAGAAAGATAGTGGACCAAAGGAGATATACAAGCACTGATCCAAAAGAAAATTCACCAAAATGAAGAAGTCATCAGGGGAGATCACATCAGAAAGAACAGAAGTGTTTGAAATTTATTCCAACTTCTACAATAATTTGTACCGGTCAACAGTCACTGCCCAGCCAAACACTGTAGAAACAAGTCCAGACACAGAGCAAGTACCACCAATAACAGAGCATGAAGTGGAAAAAGCAATGAAACAAATGAAGAAGAGAAAAGCGCCAGGGATATATGCAATAACGAGTGACGTATTAATACAAGGTGGCAAGGAAGTACTGAGTTATTTAACCAAAATATATAATGAAACACTACTATCAAGAAAAGTACCACCCAGCTGGAAAAAAGCAAAATCATTGTTCTTTTCAAGAAGGGGAACCCCAAAGATATAAAGAAGTATAGACCTATCAGTCTACTATCACATAAAATATTTACACAAATTCTTCAAGTCAGAACAGAAAATATATTAAATGAAAATCAGCCAAGAGAACAAGCCAGCTTTAGAAAAGGGTTTTCAACTGTTGACCATCTACATAAGTTAAATCAGATTATTGAAAAATCAAATGAATTCAATCTACCATTTTGCATCGAATACATTGACTACAAAAAGGCATTTGACTCAGTTGAGCACTAAGACATCTTTGAAGCTCTGAGAAAAGGAGGAATAAACAAAGTATATATAAACATTTTTGAAGACATCTACACTGACAGAATAGCAAGAATCCACCTGGAAAACCATGTATCACACGATTTCTTGATTGGTAGAGGCATAAGACAAGGAGACCCTATATCACCTAAGCTATTTATAGCAACATTACAGGAAGTTTTTAAACAATCAAAGCTAGAGGAACATGGCATCAATATAGACAGAGAAGAACTAACAGACCTCAGGTTTGCAGATGATGTGGCTTTATTTACGGAGAACATACAACAGATGGAACATCAATTCCTCACGCTGAATGGCATGGATGTCAAACTTGGACATTCACTAAACAGCTTAACTCAATTATGTTTAAACTCGTACTTATATAACAAAGGCCGCAAAATCAGTTCTCTAATTACCTTAGTATAACTTTACTTGACACACAGTTAACAAATAAAATCTAAAGTTCACAAGTAACTTGAAAACCGGCTAAAGTGCATATCATCAAGTTAAGCCTAATTAAATCGATGAATAACAACTGTTTTTTCTTCGCTTTATGTAGATGCTTGCAATTTGCATACAAATGTAGGCCTATACAGGCAATGTTTGAGTTTACTTTTGAATCAAAGGTGATATTATATTATACTGACTGTAAAATATAGGTAGTTGATGATACAGGTTGACAAACAATGAATTTTAAATTAAGAGATATCATTATAAATTTGAGTAATAAGTACAGAAGCAGGATAAAATATATAGGTATAAAGAAATTTGGTGTGTTTCTGAATTCAAATGACAAATACCAGTGTATTTCGTTATAAATTTAATGTCGTACATATATATATATATACTTGTCCAACACTTGGACATTGCATCATTTCATTTTTTTATTCTCTTTTTTATTTGTTAACTCTTCTTGCTGTTCTGAATTTGTTAATAATTAGTAACCAATTCTGTTAAATCTTTAACACATTGACGAATTTCTCAGTTACAATTATTAGATGTCTTTATAATACAACAATATAGTTTGAAAATATTGTATTACTGTGACTGTAATGTCACTAGTCTAGATCAATTATATTTATAATACCAGAGTCGTAGTAGCCAATAAGGTCACAAAAAGTTATCTGTGAGCTTTTCCTGTGTCAACAAACAATAGCTGACTACATGAAAAGCAAGCACCATAATAGACTTGACGATGGCTCTGATAAGCCCTTGCAAAACCCATTTTATGGCCTCTTGCAAGTGTCAATGCGATGGAACCCATCAACCATGAAAGCCTGAATAATACAATCTAGAATCTCAATCATTGAGAAGTATTATATTTATGTAACCCATGAAATCAAACTATTTTACATGTAACTAAGGCAGGTGGGCACTAACCATCACAACCATTATACAATTGATAGCAACAATACTCTAGAACTGCAATTCTTTTTAACCATAAGAAAATTCTTCCATCAAAGTTGGATATCTAAAGACAAGTAAGCATAAACAAATTAGATAAATATACCACAGTGACAGAGACTAAAAATTTACTGACTAATGATCTTCTTTTAATGAAATTTTTACTGTGATAACAATTTATAAAAAACAAAAGAATAGTTCAACGTAGCAATAGCATAAAATTCCAGTTTAAGAACATTAAAAATGTTCTTGTTTAAAGTTAAAAAATAGTTAAATTAGAGGTATTTAAAAAATAACAAAATGTGATTGTTTCAGTTGATGCTTAAAAAAGTCCCTTACAAGATAGTTGAGATCTGATTAACAGAAATTATAGTTATATGAAATTAGATATTGAAACAATGTATAACTAGATCATAAGCATATGAAAAATAAAATGCAAAATCATGAGATAATAAAAGAATTTCTTACAAAGAAAACTAATAAAATTCCAAAAGAACTTAGCTTATCAAACTTATTATTATGAACATATGCGTGTAAATAGTACGATCAAAAGATTGTATTAATAGATGTCTCATGTAATGAACAATGTTATAAACTCTGAACTCCTAACAAAACAATGGCTAAAGTTTCAGGTCAACACACTGAATTTTTAGTATCATAAAAACAAGACAATGTCAATACTTCCAACTATGTGATGCCAAGGTAAAGTCACATAAGTGAGGTATGCATTAAGAGCTGGGGAATTGGTTTGGTTGGAATCCTTCCAGAAATGATAGGCCTGTCCAAATCCTTTTATTGTCCACAACTTGTTATAAGTAGTGTCATCCAGTTCTACAAAACAGTAAAAAAAACACTCTAAAATAAATTCAGAATATATACAGGAACTAAAATCTATATAAACTTTGTTTGTAGTTAAGCACAAAGCTAGACAATGAGCTATATGTGCTGTGCCTACCACGAGTATTGAAACTTACTGCCTTTGCCAAAGGTGGGGCTATATAATTATAGTAAACTGATAATTGAATTGGTTTGAGAGTACACTCAGCAATAAACACATTTTTGTTGTTTATGTACACATGTACTCATCTTGGGTGTATAAAAACTAGTATGTCACTAATAATTAACCACTGCATTCACAGTTTCAAAAAACACTTCAATTTACATTTGAGAATGAATTAATTTAAACATGCAACATGAATTTATAACTTGGTGTATTAGTTTTTCTGTCAGTTGCTTTTTTGTTTCATGTTCTTTTCCTGCACATTAATTTTTTTATGTCTTTGTTGCCTTACTGATTATTGTGTATTTTTTATTTGAATATATGTGATATTTGTCTTTTTTATATTTTATTTTGATATTGTACTTCTCTGCAGTTTTATTTGACTTTCAATTTCATTTTTGTCTTGGTACAACAGATCTTGCATGTGCTCATCATAAAGTTTCCCGTGGCTGTTCAATGTCTTGTTTAAATTCTGCCATCTCAAGTATGTGTAACACTATTCAGAGTGATATAATAAAAACTTGCTTGCAGAAAAAAAACAAAAGACCAATTAAACCTAAAACTGGTGAGATATTTGTTTATTTGAATCAAATTTTACATGTTGTTTCTAAAAGCTTAGCAAGTGTCATATAGTTGTGAAAAGAACAAGTTCTATAGAAAAAGTTAGAATTTATAAAATTGTATTTGATATTCAGATAATTTTGTAGATTTTAAGTCTACTTAGAAAAGTGATAGTATGAAAACATTTGATGCTGTTGGTAAAACTTTGAAGTATGAAATTATGTTAAATTTGATATGTCGTTGGGCATTTGTATAACTGCTTCAAAAAGTAGTTATCATTTTGTATTTTGTTTAGTTAAGCTCTATATTCTATACACATCTCATAAATCAGTAAAAACTTTTCTAAAAAAAAAATTTCCTTAACATTTAAAAACCAGTATATACAACATAAAGAGTTAAAAATACTCTACATACATAAACATAATCATTGTTATTCCTACTTTTGATTACATTCCCTTGTTTTTTAGGAGAAAAATTAAAGTGCACAATGGGATATTTGAGCGGTTACAAGGATCAAGTGCAATTCTAAGCATTCAAACTTACCATGAGCCAACGCAGAACAACTGTTGGCTAAACTAGTCCACAAATTATATATTTTAACAATTCATATTGGCACCTATATTTAAGTGCTTAATGATAATATTTAACAATTATATAAAATTCACAAAAGTAATTGTGTATGATTTACTGACAACAGATAAACTGATTTGCAAAAAACGTTACACTGTTAAACACACACACACACAATAAAAGGGGGAACTAGCACACTAGGAGAAATCAAGAAAGGAAAACAGTGTACAAAGCTTAAGATTATTAGAGACATACTCATAGCAACAGATGGGCTGGTTAGATCTGGTGGACAGTTTTGAGAGTAAGGGTGAATTTTATACTACAGACGCAATCCACTTAAGCAGGTTAAGTAGCAGGATGTTTGGAGAAGGTCTACAGAAGTATGTTAAAGATAGTTTAAATTTCTATAGCAGTGAGAACACTTTGAAATTCAAGTTTACAAAATAGTTAAAAGTGATAATATTTTAAAAGGGAGGTGGTAGAGTAGCTCTATAAGGGATGAGCTACAGTAGAGTGGCTCTATAAGGGATGAGCTACAGTAGAGTGGCTCTATAAGGGATGAGCTACAGTAGAGTGGCTCTAAAAGGGATGAGCTACAGTAGAGT